CTCACACCAGATTCCTGGGTGACATTCACATCTCGTTTGCTGTGAGCTTCTCCTAGAAGGAGCTCTCACATGCTTTTATGTGTGTTATTTGAGTTTTCTTGTTTTCTCTCTAATATACACCAGATAGTCTGGATTTCACCTTCGCACCCACTGCTTAAAATCGAGTGCCATGGTCTGTTCCAGTTCCAAGACTAGACTAGAGAAAAATTCAAAAGTTAGGAAGCAGCTGTCATTTTTAAGGAACATACACAGCTCCTGGGATTTGTGCTTCCCAGTTTTAACCAGTTGACATCCGCGGTGTTAAACCCCCTTCCCATCCAGGCCATTTTCAGTATTCAGCGCTGCGGTACTTTGACTGACATTTATTCCGTCATGCAATGATGTACTGAAATGAATTTTAAACCCTTTTTTGGGGACAGATAGAGCTTTGTTTTGGTGGTATTTATTCACCACTGGGGTTTTTATTTTTTTACTATAGTAAGGAAAAAATACCTTTTACAACGGGCGGACGGCAAGTGGTTAATGTAGGATTTAAAAAAATATATATATTTATTAGGGATGCACCGATACCATTTTTTCAAGTACAAGTACTGATACTTGTCCAAAGATACTTGTTTGCCCCCTCTGCTTCGGGTGTGAGACAACTTGATCAGTTCTCACGGGAATCTCTTCATATGCTGGTCCAATGATTCAGATTCTCGGATATCCTAATTCCCTCCTGGTCGCTCAAGATCCAAGCTGCTCCACTGGTCTTCTTCCTTCCTCTCCTTCTCTGGACTCTTACCTCTATCTGCTCTGGTACTTGAATCTCCCCTACACACAGGCTCTTGGTTGTTGTACTTTCAAGATAGAAACTTTTATGCCTCCTTGGCGTGTCAAGCGGATGTTCACAGATCTCACAATGCCTTTAAAGAAATGTGTCTTCAGTCTGAGGGACCTACTCATGTTGTTTACACGCTTTACAAAATGTTGCTTTCAGATGTCTATACTTCCTTTCCACTATACTTGTCTGAGTGGGAACTGAACCTTTACTAATTATAAAAGGGTCAAGGTCTCTGTGCTGACCCATGCACTTACAATGTCTATTGCGATCCAGGAAAGGCACTACAAAATACTTACCCATTGGTATTATTGTCCACAGAGAATGTTTCCAGGTACCTCTGATCTTTGCTGGTCTTGCCTTGTGGGAGTTGGTTCCATTGCGCACATTTGGTGGTCCTGTCCACGGATTGCACCATTTTGGACTAAGGGGATGTCTATGAGAACATGACGGGCTCTTCAGTTCCCGGAATCCCTCAGGTAATCTTACTGTCCCGGAATCCCTCAGGTAATCTTACTGTCCATGTTACCAGGCTCCCTTTCCACGCTTAAGGGCCTGCATTTTACTTTTTTCCACAGAACGAGGAAATTATGTGGAAAGTGTGGATTAAGAAGACGGTGTAGTTTGATGGGGCAGTTATCACTGTTCTCCCGGATCTGTCCTGCCACACGCTCTACTTGCATCGGTTGCTTCGCCTATTGCTGGCTCCGATCTCAGCTGGAGCGACCTACAAAACGGGGACACCCCTTCCACCTGCAGGTCCAGCGAAGGGGAGCTTCCTTCACGCTACTGACACCTGAACAGCTCCTGGAGCGCTTCGTGTTTTTAGAGGCTAAGCCGGTGGAGGTTCCGAACTGGCTTATCCCATCGGCCCGGTGTGCTGCCTGCACCCCATTCTCAGCGTTCCAGAAGAAGCAGATCCCGTTCCAGAGCACAACGAGACGGACCCCCTTACTCAGAATTAGTATGTCCGCCGCTGTATTCTTTCTTGCTGAGGAGATATTGCAACCTGAAGATCTTTAGCTCTCAGTTTCCCCAGTCACTGGTCGAGACACGAGTGTGGGGTGAAACAAACTCTAATTTATTGAGCAACTGCACAAACTTTTATACAGCAAGTGATGAGATCAGATTATAATCCCATCACATCCACCCTGCCTTCCCCAGACAATCGGTCTGCTCAACACCACAGGGTTTCCCCTGCTAACGAGCTCCAGAAAGCCATAGCAGGAACCTGGCCAGAATGTCATTGTTCTGAGCTCCTTCAGAGTACAAAGGGAGATAACGAGGCATGGTGCGGATAGTCTTTTCATAACCAGGTCACACAGCATAACACACTTAAACCTAACCCAACACCAATACACATTTAACTTATAAACTCATCACCATATCGTCACAGTGGTCTCCTGAGTTGACGGCTTGCCTGTCGGGACTTTTCTTGGGTAAGCTCGGGCTATCTATTGCCTTGCTCTCCACCTGCTTTTCCTGGCTTGTTGCCCCTCATTCAGACTGTCGTCTTACCAGAACTTTCTGCTACTGTACCCCCGATGCTGGTGCTGGTTATGTACTGGAACAGACCTGGCCCTTTTCAATTCCACCCCCGGTGGCCTCACGGTTGATTCTGGACTGGGCCTCTTCTTGAACGCTGCCCCTAGGACTCTGTTCCAGTCTCCTGTTGCCCCACGACTGATGCCGCACAGGGGGTTGGATACGAATGGCACCTCCCCAGGATTGGTATAGGTTTATGGACCATTGTTTTACATTGACTTTACATTATTATTTCATGTTTTCATTTTCTGTTTCCGGCTAACGAGGGCCAAGAGGATGTGTGTGCCCACGCAGTGCCGGCTGGGCACCTGGGTGGAGACAGACTACCCTTGCTGGGCCCCACCCTCCTACTCCCTGTGCGCAGGGGGGTGGAGAGGGGCTGATGGAAATGGACTGTTTGAGGGAAATGCCGTCAGGATCCTGGGCAGGGCCCCCCTGAGCCGCTGGTGTGTGGTGGGTCTGACTCCAATGGGGAGACCCTGTGCGGTGACACTGACACCGATGTGTTGAGTTTCAGGCTGCATGTCTAGTAGTAGGTGCCCCTGCCCTGTGGGGTCTGACTGTATGCAGCGATGGCCCCTCCCCTCCGTGCGTGCACAGTACTGTCTGGGGGGCATTATTAAGGTGTCTTGAGGGATTCTCAGGTGTCCACCTCACTGTGCCTGCGAGATGCCATCCACCCTGTCCGAGTAGATTGCCATCAGGGTGATGTTTGGCCTTGGAGAGGGGCTGGGCCAGGTCCGTTATTTTGACGGCCTGTTTGAAGGGGCCTCTCTCGGTCCCTTTTGGGGGCGGGTTCGTCTGCTGGCGGGCGAAAGGGATGGTGACCATGCGAAAGGGATGGTGACCAACGGGGACACCACTTTGCATTCAATGTCCCTACGGGACGGGTCGTTTGTGGGTCTTGGTGGGACGCTCTCTCGCCCACTGGCAGGGAATATATATGGGGGTCCCCAGATGAGAACTATCCTATCCAGGCTTAGGCGGGCACGGGGGGAGGGGAGAAGTTCAGACATGGGGCTATCGGCAGTGTACTCCCTCCATCTAATTCACTTGGAACGGTCTCCTCCTGGGCTGAGTAAAATATTATTGACCTACTCGAGCACTCGTCCTGAGTTGCACCCGACTTAAGGGAGTGGATTACCCGTTTAGTCCTGACGGCATATTTGCTCAGCGTGCACCCCGTGCCTCTCCCAGAGTAGTCTGGTTGGGGACGAGCCTTCCTCTTCTCCCAATAAGTTGGTGCCTGCGGGAGCACCTCTTCCTGCCTTTTTTGCTTGCCATTTACCCCACTTAGACTCCTTCTTTACCTATAAGGCAGAAAGTTGTTTTGCTTTAGATTTTAGTCTTTCTTAGTTTTCCTTCTCTTGTCTCTTTTTTTGCCTGCTTCTTCAATGTATAAGTCTTCGTCTTCTCTCCTTTTCTTGTCCCCAATCCCCTTCTTTGTCCTTCCTCTTCCTCTCCTTCTCACTCTTATCATTTCCTCTAGCATCTTTTGGCCTCCGTCCACCTCAGTCCTCCTTCTTTTGTCGTTCTGTGTTTCTTTCCCATGGCTCAGCAGCGGGGTGATGGCTAGAGGGTCTTCTCCTCTAAACTCATGTCAGGGAATGTGAAGAGTCGGAACGTACCGGAAAAAAGGTCAAGAGTGTTGGGGGACCTGTGGAGGCATCAAGCTCAAGTGGCGTGCCTGCAAAAGACCCACTTCCGTCTGCACGATGTCCCAAAGCTGTCCGAATGTTAGATTCCCCCATGTGTACCATAGTGTCTCTTTTGGCTACTTTCGTTCCCCCTGGTTCCTGTGTTCTGTAAAGTAGCCACCACTACAGGTTCACTCCCGTGGTGGACTACAATCTCATGTTTAAGTTTACTAACTTGTATTGGGATTGCAGTCCATCACAGGAGGGAGTCTGGAGTGGTGGCTATTTTACAACACACACAGGGACCATGGGAAACAAAAGTAGCTACCCTCCAGAAGGAAGTATGGTGTCAGCACACATTCAGAGATGATTTGAGGAGCTACAGCTAAGTGATGCATGCATTTTTAAGATTTTGAGTTTAGTTTTACTTTAAGTAGAGAACTAATGAGGGGAGTGTATAAGTTAGTGGAGTATTCAATGGTACTTACCTGCAGCAGCAGTTCCTTCTATAATCCCAGCAAAATTGCAGGGTGTCTCAGCCTACCTTACATGAAACTACTGAAAGGGTTAAGTGCTTGATTTGTCTAGAGGGCTTAAGCAGATTCACTTACATAATCCTTGGTCCCGCTGACTCCCTCTGGGCTGCACGACCGGTGTCTGCAGCCTCTTTTAACCTGGGCTCTGGCGGTCTTAGGACCGCTGGTGTTATCACGTCTTATATAGGTCCATTGACCTGCATTAGACTTGAGGATGCCAAAGGACATTCCATAGTCGGAGCAGAAGGTGAGTGCCAGTCACAGCGAGGTCCAAGATCAGGTGAGTGAACCTTTATTCGATCCCCCTTAAAAAAAAACCAAAACACTTAACTCTTGCAGTGCAGGGGTAGCCCCACGCCAAGGGTTAGCTTGTGATTTTGCTAGAGTTCTTTTTTTAAGGGCAACATTACCTTTTCGAACGAAAACAGCATCAGCTAAGGTCATGTACAATTTGAAACTTACCTTGGATTTGACTATCTTGATAACACTGTCCTTTACTGTTCCCTCCACTGATGTGAATTTTGCTGCAATTGTGCTACTAAGTTGCCCAGTCACAGGCTCCAGAGTTTTATTTATACCTTTAATACAAAGAACAACAGTTTTAAAATCTATCTTTTGTAAACTGCTTCTTAAAACTCCAAAAATATAATATTTAAAGGTCTTTGATATCTTGATTGACCTCCCAGTACTACTAAAATACCACAAAGGTGAAGACTATAAGACTAATGAGAAAATCTGTACATCAGTGCAAACATCTAGCCTGCACCTCTCCAGCAGTTAATCACAAAGCATTAAAATTACTTCAACCAGACTTTAAAAACTGCAAAAGTTAGCTATGTGGGGTAAACATACAACATCAGCATAGTCTTACTATACTCTGTTTGCCAAAAGTTACATCAGTATTAGTTTACAAAAATATACCCATAAACACAATCCAACAGTTTCTATAGCCAAAAGCTGAATTTTGGCTTACTGTGAAATCTGTTTGTTGCAGTTCATTAGGGAAACACAGGACAGATGAAATTTCACTACTGGATTATGATGCTGCCTAAAGTAGGTTAAAAAAAAAACATCACTCGTAAAAGGGATCTGTCCATCCAATACTTTATTTGCAAAAAAGCAGCAAACGCTGACATGTTTCAGCCCCCAAAACTAGGCTTTAGTCGTAGCCTTAAAGAACACAGGACACTAGGAAACAAGGGACAAGACAGAGCGCCTCAATAGTGTAAAAGTGTAATTTATTTGTACAACACGCAAATAAAAATTTACTTACAGGAAAGTCGGTGCTTAAAAGCATACAAATGGTGATGAAGTATAAAATCTCTAGCAGCGGAAGTCTGAAGGAGTACAGCACATCAGCGTCCTCTGACCCCTTGAGTTCTAAAGGTCAGATGACGCTGATGTGCTGTACTCCTTCAGACTTCCGCTGCTAGAGATTTTATACTTCATCACCATTTGTATGCTTTTAACCACCGACTTTCCTGTAAGTACATTTTTATTTGCGTGTTGTACAAATAAATTACACTTTTACACTATGGAGGCGCTCTGTCTTGTCCCTTGTTTCCTAGATCGATGGTCTTTTTGACCAGTGAGAGCTGCCCTTTGAGTGTTTAAGCCAACTTCACAACCAGCCCATCTTGCAACCAGAGGCGCCGGTTTTGGTTTTTTCAACACAGGACACTGGCCAACAAAGCTATGTACCAGCTAAGTGTAACCCCTCCCACTTCCTGCATGCTCCAGTTTTAAAGAAAAGCAATAGGAGTGGATCATAAGACCGAGTGGTGAGACCAATGTCCCTTAAAGAAATCCTAGAAATAGATTTTTTTTCGGTAAGACAAAAATATAATTTTCTTAATCATTCATTAAGGGAGACAGCACAGATGAAAGCTTTTGAGCTTTCATCTGTGCCGTCTCCCATAATGAATGGGGGACACGCAAAAGCAGTACAACGGAGCATTAGATGAGGCCTAAACATTCACCTGGTAAAACTTCATGAACCAGTGAACAGATCACGAAGTGGCAATCTAGCAAATCTGAGAAACAGATCATAAAAAAAACAAGAGGCATTAAATGACCTAGCGGAGTGTGCTCTGACTAGAAATTGTAGAAACCTGTCCCTAAGCCGAAAGATGGTGGAACAAGAGATGGAAGAAGCAGGTTGCTCCATACAGGGACACTGAAACGTGAATAAAAAAGAGAAACAGTCAATCTGAATGAAGCAGTAACTGAGATGTAAACCCAAAAGGCACACACTGCCTCTAGACAATGGGGTGAAATGTACCTGGGATGGGTCGGAGCAGGACAGAAAAATGAAAGAACAATGTCCTGATTTTCTGAAATGAAGTAACCACCTTGGGAAGAAAATAAGTCTTAGGCTTCAAGACAACCGTGTCTGTGTATAGCAGAAAAGGATTGCCTCGAAAGAGGCCACCCTCAAAAGTGGAGGGTTGGACAACTCCTTGTCTGCAGAGTCAAATGTCTCTCTTCTGGAAGAAAAGTAGCTATGTCGGAAAAATGGGAATATGCTAGTAGGCATCCTTGATGTCCATAAAGTGTCCTGGATGCAGAATGCTTCTACTCAGAGAAAGGCAACAACAACCTTTAAAACCATTATGGGGCAGAATGCCACCACTAACTTTTGGAACAGTGAACAGGCTGGAGCTGGAGTAGAACCCCTGAAAGCTTTTCATTTTAGGGACAATGACTATGACCACATGAGAGAAGAGCTGAGCCAGAGCAACAAGGTCTGCTAGCCTTTGAGGAGTTGTCAGGTTTGACAACATGAACTGGGGTGGAGGCAGAGATTGAAACACCAGCTTGTAGCTCCAAGACACCGTGTTCTGGACCAAAGCATACTAAACGTTGCCGGTCCAAGAGGCCCCAAGCCCCATTGTGAGGAGGACTTGTTCAAAGGCTTTGGAGGATTGAGAGTCCCAAGGCTTGTGGTGGAACTGAGTCCTGGCTTAGGACTTGAACCTAAAAGCCTGGAAGTAGCAAATAGAACTCCTTTTAGACTGGAAGTAGCAAAAATAACTCTTTTTAGACTCAGAAGTAGAGGGTTTCCTAGTCTTGGGCTTAGCTTTCTTTTGCTGGAGATGTCCCTCTTTGATAAAATTGCACAGGGATTCAAATATATACGTAATGCAATATGTGGTTCTTGCACTGATATTCTGCAGACCAACACGTAAGCCAAAGGGTCTTTTGCACGTGAACAGATAGAAGGGTCATACTGAATACGAGGCATACAACATAATATAATGTAAGGGCACATGCATGAATTTCAAATGCTCCTCTGTTTACATAAATCTCTTTAGGTACGAATTTGTCTAACAGGGACAAGGTACACTCCTCATCATCCTCAGCTGAATGTGCAGAGGCAACAGTAGCTGTAGGAAATTTAGAAACAGACCCAGGAGGAGAGGTTGTGTTACACTTTTGACACCTGCGTCCTTTGCTATCAGGGTTGAAAATGTTCTCAAAGAAGTCTGCCACAGTGGCACAAATTTCTCCTTGGATAGTAGGAGGGGAACACACATTAGGAAGCTAAAAAAGACCAAGAGGAGAATGGACTAAAGAAGGGGGCAGGTCCTTAAGAAAGAGTAATGCAAACACCCCTGAACTGTTGCTTGTGAGCTGGAAAGCCTGCCAGACTGCTTCCCTTACACTTATAATCCGCTATACTGTGAATATGTAAAGTGAGTAAACACAAAATGGGTACTCACTGACCACTGCTGAAGCTGGGGGTGGGGGGGGGGACACTGCTGCCCATCACTAGTTCACTGAAAGGCAGGCAGCAGCAAGGTGGACAGGTCTTAGACCTTGCAAGGAGCCAGTTGGGATCTTATAAGCATCAGAAGAGGGCAGGGTTACTGCCCAGTGTGTCTCAGTCACAGAGAGATACATGAGACAGATTTAAAAAAAAAAAGTAAAACAGCCCAACCAAGGACAGTGTAGAAATGTAGGGAAGGTGCCAGGCTCTAAAGGCAGGGGCAAGCCCTGAGTACTCACCGAATAAGGAGTTCAGGATGGCAAACTGGGACTCAGGCAGGGCACATAGGAGCAATTCAGACAGTCTTTGCCCCTCTGGTAAGAGGGACAGGATTCTACCCGGTGGGTGTATCACAACCATGGACTTGTGAAGTGCTCTATGGTTAAATCACATTTACAAGTGTCTAGAATGCCCCAGCAGAGTCCAGTGGCTGCATTTCACATTATAGGATAGCCAGCTGGGTCCGGGTATGGCCTACATGGCTATGCCAAGGTTCAGCCGATCTAGAAATCTGCAAAATGAGCACTTCTGGCTGTGCAGTATATGTAAAATCTTCAAAGAAAAAGGATCTTGACAACAAGCATGGAGTTAAAGGAAATGGGTTTGGTTCTTTTTGAGGAGAGAAGACTCCATCCTCCTAGAACAATAACAAAAAACTGGAGCATGATGGGAGTGGGAGGGGTTATATTTAACTACCTCATGTATTTGCCAGTGTACAATGTCCTGTAAGCAGTTGCATAACCCAGTTGCCTACGATTTCATCTGACCTGTGTCCCCTAATGAACAATTAAGAAACGTTTCTATTAGTTTTGGATAAAATGGGGAAGGATTAGAACCTGTCAGGTTTTAATGCTGTCCAGGACTCCTTTAGAGAGATTTCCCCCTTTACTCAATGTCTTAAGGAAAACCTTCTCACCACACAGGAAGAGAACCACAGAGCAATGCATTAGTAGTTTGTTTTTTTCTTTAACATTTTTTTAAAGTGAAGTATGGGAATGCTGGGGTGTATAGATACTTTATTGTATATTACTGCATGAAGTAAGGAAGGACTCTGCCAACCAAATACAAGCAGTGTGGGCAGAAGATCAATAACCTGGTGTTAGAGAGTATTCAAACCCTGATAAAGGCACTTGGCAATATTTTCCTGTGACATCCATCTTAAAATGCTATAGAAAGGTACTTGAGCTCTGTCAAGACTGCTAGTCTTTTAGCTTTTAAACTGGGAATTCACATCTCAAGTTTTGGAGCAGGTCAGAAGGAGAAGACAAATGGCTAGAGAGGTTACATACAAATTACTACTTTAAATAATATAACTATTAAATATTTTAATACCATACGCGAAACAAAAAATCTCACATAGCGGAACAGTCTTTTTAATCTCTTCCCGTATAGTTTTGTCAAGACGATTGGTTAGTGACCCAGACAGTGAATGTGAAAGTTGCTGAGAAAGATATTCTTGTAGCTGACCAGTTCGCTGCTGTCCGTCACTTAGGATTCGATCTAATCTTCTTTCTGAGACATGAACTGTTAAGGAATGTGTAAAGGATTACATGCAAACACACCAATACATTACTAACTTTACAAGAAAAAAACTTTAAAGCCACACACACACACCAGTTCAAAGGTAATGTAGAGCTCTTTTATGCACAGTAATACAATACGCATCATTAGTCATTTATTTTCTATGGCACACTAATGTACAAAAAAAATGCAACACTCAAAAACACACATCAATGCACAAATAAGAATAGTGAAAAGGTGGAATCAATAACACAACTCATCCACTCTGCTAAAATGAATAATATTGTTTTTGTTAAAGAAACTGATGCTCCGGAATTTTTTGGTAAATTGTCATGACCAAGTGCTTAAGTATTTGGAACCGCAAAGCAGCCATTTCTGTAGAAATGGCAAGCATTTTAAATAATAAATTCTTCTGAAAGGCAAGACGTGTGAACAACTTATGAGGACCAACCTATTTAGACCTATAAAGATCTTTCACAGATTACTTTGCAGAATAGGTGCTCCCTCCAACCTCTGCTGAATGTTCTTTGAGAATATAATATTCCGTATCGATGGCGATATCCATTTGGCCTGTAGGCCACCAAAGTGGTTCACACTGCTCTTTTGCACACGCCTACAAGACTTTTGTACTCACCTTCGTATTTCAATGGTGGACCTGTTGGACTGGTATGGCTCCTTCCAACTACTGAGAGAGTGGCTGCATGATGCTTCTGAATTGCCCTGAAGGCCACAGTGTCAAAACTCTTCTGTTCTGGATTTGCCTGCTCGTCGGCACTGACACTATCCCCATGGGGGCACCCCAACACGCAGACCAGAGAGGCTCTCCGAGAGCCAGCTGTTTCCCAAGTTAACTGCATTACGATACCATGGAGTCAGACCTTCTTATCCCACACAGACTCCGTTTCTCTCCACTCCACCCGTTACCCTACTGATCCCCCTTGTACTTTGTTTCCTTTTGACTACTAACTTTTGCAACCAGAGCTTTTGATGATACTACTTACTACCACCATCCTGCCTTTGTATGTGAGGCGCCTATGAAAAACTAGTATATGCAGTTTATTTTCCCTCCCTCGTGGCATGTGCCGGTTGCCTGTGTCAGTTGGGTTTTGGGGGTCCGCTGGATTGATTGCTTTTGGATTACTCCAAGTGACATGCCTAATTGTATACATGTCCTGTCATTGCTCTTGCTCCCTGTAATTGTTTTTTGCAACTTTTTTATATCACCATCCTGGAGCTACATTGTCCCTTCACTACACTACCCTTTTGGTCCCTTTTCCATGGTCATGGGGTTCTTACCTTATTTAGACATGCCCCTTACCGTGTTTAAGTTTGTACCCTATTCAACCTCCTGGTCATGGTCTTACCTAGCGGGTGCCCCATTTGCCACACTTGTTTTTTTCCCCCACTATCTGGCTCCTGACAATATGGTTATATCTCTCTGTCTTTATTGACTTTTGATTTAGTTGGACATTATGCCATTGTTTGCCTATTGCTATATGCTATTACGGATCCTTTAATATAGGGTTGGTTTGACCGTCCATTCTAAGGTTGACTGATGTGCATCAGTCTGGGTGGTTGTCTTGAATACATATGTTACAGACACCGTTTCTATTACTTTACTAATCTTTTATATGGACAAATAAAACAGTATTTCATGAGAATGCGCTGTTCTTTGTTTTCTTTTGCAATATACAGTTAGTTCAGAGACCTTTTTGCTCACTTCTTTTTGTAGTTTACTTATACAACATATTGCTATGCCTGTATGATGTAGCTCCTTCCAGTACACTCTGTTTTACGTCACCTAAATGGTAGCTGTTTATTGGTGAGAGGACTTGCTTCAAGACCAGGACATACAAAGGATACTGCAATGAGAAGCCATTCTTCTTAGGCCAAGTCCTGCTCATCACGGAATTTGTGGAGCCTGCAGCCTAAGCTAAGTACATTTTCAGTGTTTCCCCTCCTAGAAATTACATGTACTAGAAGATAGTGTAGTGGGTGCATGTGATAGTATGTTTGTAGCAGCCTGTCTTGTTTATGTATTTGTTTGCTTTTCCTGTAACTAAGTTTGTACACGCAGCATTTTCTCCAAGTAAAGTACTTTTAATGCTACTGGGTCAGTTTCCTTGAGGTTTACTGCAAGAACAGACAACAAATAGAAATTAAAGTTTTGCCAAGCTTTACAGCTGGGCTCATCCTTGGGATAAGCTTGACGTCTCTGGGATTTGTAGTCCAGAGCATTACATCCTCCTCCAGTAACAAACATTTCTCTACACAGAATATTGCTGCTCAATTTCAAACCTACTATGAACAACTCTAATTTGGACCAAATGGGCACCCCTCATCCCTCTGGATCTTCCAGCCTGGAGGCTATCTCCTTTTTCTTGACTCAATATAGTCTTTTTAAGCTTGGTGATGATGATGTCATTGTTTTTGAGGAACCGTTCTGTCCTGAAGAGGTTCAAGAAGCTATTTACCAACTGAAATAAGCAAAAGCTTGGGCCGCAATGGTCTTATTTCTCTTCATCACAAAGCTTTTACAGATTCCCTTGTTCCGCTATTTATAGCAGCTTTTGACCCTCCTATTGATTCCCCACTGCTTTCTCACCATATCCTAGAAGTGCATGTAATGGTGATCCCTGAAGAGGGCAAAGACTCTGCCTTTTGCACCAGTTATAGGCTGAGATCCCTACTCAAAGCTGACCTCAAACTTTACATAAAGGTTCTGGTGAACCATCTTTTGCCTCACCTCCCATCGATTTGGTTCAAATGGGCTTCATCCCTAAGCAGGGAATCTTGCGACAACACCATTCAGACACTCAATTTACACCACTGGGTGACTAATATGCCCATTTATTCCTAGCTATAGATGCTGAGGTGTTTAATAGAGTGCCCTGGGGCTACATGCAAGGAACTTTGCACTTCCTAGGCATTCAATCCAAGATGCTCACCTGCATTATGATTTTATACACTAACCCTCATGCTAGAGTCTGTGTCAATGGCCACCTATCGGGCGCCTTCTGCATCCACAATGGAAGCCGCCAGGGCTGCCCGTTATCCCATTTAATTTTTGTCCTTTCTCTCATGCCCTTTCTCTGCATGGTAGAAAATGAAAACATTCATGGTATTTCCATGCCCTCTCGGACTTACAAAGTTTCAGCATTTGCAGAAGACCTCCTTTTTCATCTTACCCAGCCTCTTCTGATGCTCCCGAACCTCCTGAAAGTGTTCAAAGAATTTCACTCCCTATCAAATTTTAAAATCAACTGTTGTAAAATATTCACTATGATTATCTCCCTTCCAATTGCTGTGATAGACCAATGTAACATGAACTTCCCTTTCGGATGGCAATCATCAGCCATCAAATACCTGGGAATGTATTTACTGGTGAATCTCAAAGATTTATACTCTCTTTATTTTCCACCGTTTGCTGAATGCCCATCGAAAAGGTTTGCAAGATGGAGACAAGACTCATTTCTCTTGGTTGGGGAGGGCTGTAATCTTAAAAATGTATGTATTGCCCAGACTCCTTTACCTAATCCAAACTAGTCATATATGTCTCCCCTGTATTTTTCACTTCTGTTAAGTCTCTTTTCTGGACCTTGATTTGGAAAGGCATAACTTTTAGAATTTGTTACAAGCCTTTCCTTACCAAAATCCAAAGGGGGATAGGTTTCCCGAATGTTTTCAAGTACTGAGCCAGCTATTTAATAAGAATAGTCAACTGGAATATACATGCTACTCAAAAGATGTGGGATATTTTTGAACATTCGTTTTCCCTGCTCCTTCTTCGCTCATGCCCTTGGCATCCTAAGGCAGAAATATGCCCTATTTTACATACTCATCCTCTTATCTTTGTCTCACTATAAGTGTTCTACCGAATATGCACTTTTCTGGATATGTTCTTGTCTCTTGGCCCTCTGACTCTGATTTGCAATAATCCTGCCTTCCTCCTGGATATGAAAACACACGTTTCTTCATTTCTGGGTGTTGATCCATCCCTGCAGACTGTACAATTTTCCACTGATAGTTCTTTCCTATGCTGTTCTGATCTACAAGCAGCTCTCCAAGCCACAACCATACCACACTGGTCCTACCTGTAAGTACATCACTTTTTGAATGCACTCCCTAATAGAGCGGCATATGCTTCAAACGCTTATGCATTTCTACTTCTCTGGTTTGATACCTTGTTACCACTCTGTACTCTGGTTCATTTTCCCAGATTTTCGCCAAAAGGAGTTGTAGTTATGAATTGGGAAAAAGGAAACTAATGTCACTTTGACTGAAGAGGATTGTTAAAATATGAATGAATATTTAGGAAACCAACTACAAGCTCCGAACCAGATGTTACCGTACACCTGTTTTTTTTTTTAAATAAGATCGTTCCTCACCTCCCTAAAGACTGCTGGAAGTGCCACAGAGATAGGGGCACAATGCTACATATTTGGTGGTCATGTCTCACTCTTCTACTGAGTGAGAGTGACTTGAGTTCACTCTCATTGCCTAAATCGTAGGACACTCCTTACAATTCCACCTCGCACAGTTTTTGCTTTACTGTCCTTCAATGTCCTTTAACACCATGGTTCTCAACTGGTGGGTCGTCACGTGCAGCACTATCAGCTTTCGTGCCGAGTAGCCATTCAAAATTTGCTGCCCAGGGCTCAGTGTCAGCTTGAGGTGGGCTGGGGTTATGACTGCAAGGTAACTCTATCCATACGTGCATTGCTTACAGCTCCCTTGCGTGCCCTGTAGAAGTGCCTGGACTGAAGTGATGTCACATTCTGGCTCTGGGCACCTCTACAGGGCACGCAAAAGAGCTGTACAAGTAATGCACATATGGATGGAGCTCAATCACAGCACAGCAGCCCACACTGGACTGAGGATCCACTCTAGTTATCGTAAGGTAGAGAGGTGAGTGGATCCTAAAGAAGAATTTTTTTTGGAGTGTGTGTGTGTGCGAGATTGTGTCTGTGGTTGTGTGTCTATCAGTGTTT